CAGCTGCTCAGCATGGTGCTGATAAAGGGTTGGTGCTTGGCTGAGAAGCCCTGCACTACGCTTGGCCTTGCCTCTCCCAGGCTTTGCAAAGTCCAGGGCTGAGAAAGGAAACCAAGGGGGTTTGTCTGTGGATCTTTGCACTGCCTCTGTGTACCTGCACTTAGAATCTGCTCTGACTTACCTGTACTGGCCATCAGCTCCTTCCCCAGGGCACTGGGGCATTTACTGCTGCTCTGGGTGACACTACTCGTGCCCATCAGACACTGGAAGTGCTGTGAAGACCTGCTTCTGATGTGAGCATCATCCTTCCCCTGATACAAACACGTTGTTGTGTCCTCTAAAATCCAGCCTGTCTATCCCTCACAGTCAGTGTGCAATGAATGCCTTCCATGGGAGGTGCAAGTAAAGAGCTGGGCATTTTGAGTGATGAATAATTGCACCTGAAAACTCAGGGTGGATGTTTTGATAGCTCCCATTTATGGCCAGCATGAGCTGCTCCATGGAGCACTCAGCTCTCACAATTTACTGCTTTTCAGGGATAAATTTTCCTGTGTTTATTTGTCCTTCCCCCATTTTTTGGTAACGTTTGTATTTGTTATCCTTTTCCTTGGTATCACTTTCTCTCAGTGGTGCTGTGCTCACAGTGACAGTGGAATGCTATGGCAACGATATATTATCTGCAGTCTTGCCAGTGAGTAAGATGTGCTGCAGAAATTAGTTCATTTATCAAAATCTGATGTGCAGAGCTGAGCAAAGGACTTGGCTATCCAGAACCTCCTGCTACTCTCACAAGACCTGCTGTTCTGCTTCCCATTGGTTATGGCACTCAGATAAATTCTCTCCTGACTGTTTCCAGTGATGCCTTGTTAAACCTACAGATGTCTCAGCACCTTGGAAAGTATTTTTGGATGTACAGTAATCTCCAAGCTATCTTTGGTGGTGACAAAAAATGGAAAAATGAGCAATTTTTTTCCCCCTTCTGTTACTATTCCAGAAAGGTACTTTTCTGTGATTTCAGGGTAGGAAAGAGCATATAAATGGAAAAATCTCACCCAGATTGGGAAATGTGAGAAATGTGTTAGATTTGCACTGCTGAAGACTAAAAGAGCTCTGCCCTTCCCTGCTCCGTGCTGCAGACTGGGCCATGTAGAGCCTTCAGGATGCTGTCTGGCACCTTCTCTGTCCCACATACACGCTGGTGGAATGGCCTTTAGGTGCAATGTTGGCATCTAATTCCAAATTCCTCTCCAGTGTGGGTGTTCAGAGTCAGCCCTGTCATTTCTGGTCCTGTTGTCTCGTGCTGGGTGAGGAGGACTCTGCCCTCTGTGCCTGTCTCTCCTGTACTGTCCCTCCCAGCCATCCTGACTGCTGGGCCTGACAGGGCAGGGCAGCTTTTGAGCAGCCCAGGGCCAGCTCCCAGGGTTGCTGGGTCTGGGGTTGAGATTAGAAATGTTAAACCTTTGGTCAGATGTTCAGGAACTGTTTACATGGGTTTTACAGTACTCACATGTTCTTAATAGTCAGGGTTTGGCCAGAAACTCCTGGAGAGGAATCAAGCCAGGACAGGCTGCTGCAGACTTATGGACATTGTCCTAAAGTTTCCAGGGAAATCAGTACTCTTGCTTAGTCAAATTATGTTTGCTTGTTGACCCCTCTTATCTAATTAGTGTGTACTTCACTGAGCTGCTTCTCCTTGCATGCACTGAAGCAATTATTTCACTTTACTGTTTTACCACTGTAATGATGGAAGAAGTTGAATTAAGAGATGCTTTCTTTTCCATGTTATAACCCCATGCCTTGTGATTTGTGCAGAAATGAATTGTTTTGTTGCACATCTGTCATCTGTTTGAGGTGAGGGGAGGATGTGTGAGCTGAGCAGCCAGTTAGACAATCCTTGGGTTCTTCTTATTAGGTGTGGATAAGTATCCAAAGCTTGGATGCCCGTCTGTAGTCTTGAGGTTCCCACATCTTCTCTGGGCACTGCACAAGCAGCTTCAAGAAAGGCAAGGGGCAGTAGTTTGGTCTCATTTGCAAAATGTGTAACTGGGCTGGGGGGGGAAGCAGATGGATTTTGGTTCCTCTGCAAGCCCATGTCAGAGCCAAGACTAAAACCTGGTTGTTGAAATCCCAGACTCCATCCTCTGTGGCCTGCTGCCTCTCTAAGCATGTGTAAGGTTTTAATGAAAAACACCAATCTTAATTTAGAGCAGGATTCAAGGGAACTGTCCTATTCAGTTACTTAATTATAGGTGAACTATAATTACAAGACACAAACATGTCTTGCTACAAAGCACCAAGCAAAAGAGCAGAAAGGATTATTTGTTGTTTAATTTAGCAGAGGAAGGCAGCTGATCATGCTAAGTCTCTCTGACACCCAGCAAGTTGTGTGATCCTATTTGTTAATCTTTTTAACTTTCCGTTTTATTAGGATAGGGTTTCAGGAGCAAATAGGATAAATGAGATTAAATCTGTCACCCTGAATTACTCTCCTCTGACTTATGAACAGAGTCACTCTATGTAAGAGAAGTATAATTATGAGGGAGATGCTGCCTGTGTAATTGTGTACTTCCTTGAGAAGAATTTGAGATCCCTAATTATCTCTGGGATTGCCCTGTGCTGGCCCTGAGTTTCCAAGGTAAACAAAGCCAAGGGAAGTTCCTCTGCTGAGCAGTTCCTGATGTAGCATGGCTTGTACCTGAACAGTAGCAACATTACCCTTCAGGTCTTCTGGTTCAAGTGAAGGATCCAAACTAACTTGGAGTAGGAGACACACACATATATATATAAAATAACTGTTTTGGGCTCACCAACCAAAAAAAACTTTGGATCCTGTGTGTTGTTTATCTAAATTCACAGCAACTTCTGTTAGGAAAAAGCAAATGAAAAGTTCAGCTGGATTTGTCCCATGGATAGGCATAATTGCTGCTGGAAGATCTCCTGAAGAAGGGATATGCACAAAGTAAAAAGAAACTCACTGCAGGTCCCACTCAAACATTTCTGCAGATTCTTTCTTGAGGCAGAGGGGCAGAATCCAGATTTACATAACGGATTAGTGATAAAACAACCTGCTAGCCTTGGATTAGAGTTTCTGTTATTTTGCCTAAAACTGTGTGTGCATTAGTGGAGAGGATGCATCATTTTTGTGAATCCTAGTATCAGTTTTATTTTCTTTTTCAGACCTTTTTACAGTTACAAGCCAGGACTTGATCTCCACATCTGTTTTTATTGGCCAGTCTAGTTCACAAATGAGGCCCCTTTTGTTCCATCTAATTTTATGTAGTCTGTGATGCTGCATAAAGATTCTGGGAAGAAGAGATGGAAGGATTGTGAGCTGACCTTGTGGCTAGTATGTACAGTGACTCACTCTATCCTGTATTTCAACTTCCATGAAGTCTTTTCAGATACACTGTTCAGCCATTAAATGAGCTGTTCAGTTTAGCTTATGGCTAAAGTTTTTCTTAATATTTTGATATATTTGTTGTGAACATGACAAAGTAAATCACAAAGGAGAATGTTAACAAATGCTTGCATTAATCATCTGAGACAGCCTCTCTTGTTATAATCTCATTCAGAGTAACTAGTTGTCTGTAAGAAAGGGTTTCCTGTCCTTTAGTTTGCCAACTTATGTGACTCTGCTGCCAAGGAAATCTCTCCTCCATGCTTGACAAGCAATGGGGAACTTCATAATCTTTCTCTGTGTAGGCAGCTTCTTCAAGGGAAGAAATTAAGTCAGTCATGCCCATTACTGAATCTAATTTTACTATAATTTAGAGGGAAGAACCCTTCCCTGAGTAGAATTGATTCTATAACCGCTTACTTAAGGATTTATTTTGCTCTCCTCCAAAGGATGTGGCAGAAACTGTTGTTAGTGACAGTGCCTGGCAAGGTCACTGCAGCACATTCCCTGGCAAGGGAGGAACTTCTGCCTTGCTTTGGTTTGCAGTCACTGGCAGCTGCTCTGAGGCAAACTGAGCGTGGCAGCAGGTCAGCAGGACTCAGGTCAGCAGGACTCAGGTCAGCAGGACTCGCTGCTTGTTGAAGTTCCACCTCTGGGGCATGGAAGGGTCTTAGGGTACCTGGTGGTGTCAAGCTGTCTTCAGCTGATTTGGTTTGTCCTTCTGCCCTAGTCAGCCTGGAGGTTTGGCCCTGGCCACAGAGGTTTCTTACTCTTGGCTTTACAGTTCATTCACCCTGAGTAGGACTTGTCCATCTTTTCCTCACTGCAGGTGGAGCTGATTGAAGCACACACAGGGAAAGGTCCTTTTGAAGGCAGTTTGCAGCAGTGTTAAGCCCGGCTACAAAGAGGAGGGGAGCACAAAACAATCTTTTCCCTTACTGCTCACCAAGAAATGGGAGAAGAAAGTGTGGTGCCCTTCTACCAGTGGCCACAAGAGCATGTTTAACAGTGTCCCTTCAAGGTCAACAATGCCGTTCTCAGCTGTTCAGAACAGCCTCTCAGTAGCAGGCCCAGTGAGAATTAGATCTGGAAGAAGGCTGCTTGTCTGTTGTTGTTTTTTCCTTCTTTCCGCAGCCCTCAGCCTGGCAGACAACCAGGTCCAACTGTGGATGTAATTCAGGCAAAATACCATCCAGAAGACATTGGCCAGTGAGGATTTGTGCTAATGGCAGTAAGGCATTGCTGCTGAGTGGCTGCTTGGGAGCTTTGGAGGAGTCCCTGCCTGGCAAGGCAGGTGGAAATCTGAGGAGAAAGTCAGGGGTCTTTTTTCAAAGACATACTTGGTCCTATGTTATTCCTTATTTATATAAGGCCTGTGAGCCCTGCGAACAATGGTTCACAGCTTTCTGTGCTCTGGAACAAAGCAGCTTTACAGAGGGTGTTGCAGTGATCACTGGAAGTGGCTCTGTGGGAATTTCTGTTCCATTGCAGATCCAGCCTTGCTGCATGGCCGTGGGGAGGCCCGAGGGGAGATGATGGTGAGCGGGCAGAACTCCGTGGTACAGCTGAAAGAGCCCTGACCCAAAACTTTTCTTCTCCACAGGTGCCCCTGGTTGACAAAAGCCATCTCCCCAGCCATCCCAGTGTACAATGGGCTCGTGTTCTTGTTTGTACTGGCAAACTTCAGCATGGCAACTTTCATGGACCCTGGAGTATTCCCCCGAGGTAACAGAGAATGGGACTGGTGTGTGTGTGAGGGGGTGGGTTTGAAAATCCAAGCCAAAGGAGGAGCCAGGTATCCAAACACACTAGTTGCTAACTAATCCCCCTTTGTTTTTCTTATTCTGTTATTCTCAGCTGGCAGTAGAGGTGGGATGGCAGTGAAGTGCTGGGTACCCTCTGACTCTCTCCTGAGCTCAGAGGTGTCACTTGGCCTTGCACTTGCTCAGACTGGCAGTCGGGGGCACAGGGTTGCTTTGGATGGTTCTCCTTGAGTAGCTCTCCTGAGGGATGTGATTTTGATTGCTATCCCCTGTGTCATGCTGGCACATTGGATTTAAGTCACTGTCTTCACAATAGGTAGCAGAGCATGGCAGAGGGGAGAGGCTAAACTTTAATCAAAGCAGATTTTCCAGGATACCTTAAAAGAAATGCAAAAGCACTGAGCACTAAAAAGATAATGATTAAGGCTTGCCTTAGAGTGTCTAAAAATGCATACATTTAGAAATATATTCCTGCTTAAATTAGTACTGATTCACAGCTGGTTAAATAGGATAAAGATCGCTTGGCTTTTGTAGTGGGAGCCACAGTGCAGCTATCTCCTTTAACACATCCTAATGAGAGAATTATCACCTCATTTTATCTATCTTCCAATAATTATTCTCATGCAGTTTGCAGCAGAGACTGCTCTAGGCAGTCTCTATAAACCAATGGGTCTGTGCTATCTACAAGCTGTGCTTTTTCACCTCTATTCACTGAATTCAATATCTGTTTTGAATTGCTACCTGACAAGAACGAGGTACTTGTCCTGCTGGCTTCCCTGAATAGCAAGTGCCAGGTTTCACCAGGTAGCCGAGTCTAATGATAAGCATCTGTCTGCCATTCCTTTCAGCTGAAGCTTCTGAACTCCTGATTAAGTGTTGCAGCACTCCAGTTAAGCAAATAATTGTATGTAAAGGCAAACTCTGGCAAAGGCAAGATTCAGTCACTTGTGCAAGATCAAGGTATTCAGTGTATAGGTACTTAAAGGTACAAATGCTAGTGAGTTTGAAGAGAACTCAAGCACACAGAGCTTTTAAGGAGTTTCCTGGACTTTTTAGTTTCTTCCTCTCAGCAGGGATAGCAGGTGTTAATTAAACCTGTGTGGGATGTGAGGTTATTAAAGGCATCAGTGCTCTTTGCCTTTGGTAGGAGGAAAGATTAAATAAAGATGTTCAGTTCTGAAGATCTCTGGCTGAGAATGCAGCATCTGTGTGCAGGGCAGTTCCCTCTGAGCAGAGCCTGCAGCCAGACATCCCCCTGCCCTGGGAGTGAGCAGGGCTGGGGGTGTTGGCAGTTCAGACCTTCCTTTGCACTTCTCCAGCTCCCTTTTGCAAACAGGTTCTTCATTTTGGGCTTCGTGTTTAAAGAAGAAACACTCAGGGAGATCAAGTAGAAACTCCCTCATCACCTTCCCTCCCTTCCACCTCCCTTCACACAAGGGAGCAAAGCAGGAAGAGAAGGAACTCCTGGAGCTCACCACTCTTGTGGCTCTTTCTCTTCCCTTGTGGCCTTGGCCTTTTATCTCTGTGCTGTGCCTGTGCTTTGTGTGGAAGGTGCTGGAAACAAGGGGAGTGGGGAAAGGACGAGGAAGGGGGTGCATTCTTCCTGGAAGAAAGTGATGGAGTAGGAGTTTAGATGTGTGAAGGAAGCAAACTGATAAGGGAAAAGATGGAAAAGACTATAAATACTAGTGCTGGGAAGGAAGAGGAGAAGATGTTATTTCAGATCACAAGTGTGCTTGTGAAGAAAGCTTATCACCACCCCCTGCCACCCGCAGGGCTGCCAGTGCCAGGAGTTCAGGGGTTGTAGGAGTGATTCAAAATGAGTATACAATTGGTCTGTTTGCTTTCTGGTTTTGAAATTAGGTTTAGTCTTGTTGGTTTTCAAACTTCTTAGCACATTTCTAATAGTTAGGAATTTACTTCAAAACCAACACAACAAGTGAGCAATACAAAAGCTGAGATTCTAATGAAATCGCAGGATTCCTTTAAGGAAACCACCACAAATCCTAAGGTATGTTATAAAAACATGAGCTTTGTCTGCTCTGTGTCAGTGGATCCAAGTATGAGAATCTGTGTAGTAAGATACATTCCTCTGACAGTGTATTCTTCTGCTCAGGTCCCTGAAAACTGGAAATAAGCCCATTTCTGGCTGTGTCATATGAGCTTGCAGGTTCTCTGCAGATAGAACTTGACTGTGGGGGGAAATGATAGAACTTGGGCTGTGGAGACCCAACCTGTTGAAGAGGGCCTCATTCAAACTCCCAGAGCCATTACTCATTTTTGAATATTTTTAATTTGGTGGCTCTCTGAATGTTTCTGGTGTGAATCAGGACTGGCTCTGTGAGTGAATTGCTGGTAATACACCAAAATGAACGAGAAGGAAAGGAAGTGTGAAGTGACTGAAATTGGGGCTGCCCTGAAAAATCTGATTTACAGTCTAGGTTGAGACTGGCAGTGTTCAGTGCTGGCTAATTATACCAACTACAAAGTGGCTTTCAGTATTTTTGATGTGAATCTGTTTTACACAAACTCTTGAACGGTGTGTGAATTCTGTTTAAATGCACGCAGGTATATGGAATGTACAGACTTTTTGTCTGCATAGTCAGGTTTTCTACAAAGAGCTTAAATGGTTTGACTGTTCCAATGTCTTGTTTTCATCTGCCCACATGTATTACACAGCATGGGTAGGTTTATAATGGTATGGAAGAACCTACAGACTGTATTTATAGAAGTGCCTCAGGGATTTAGAGTCTAGGTCTCTCTGAGTCCCACTGCCTAGTTATGAAGGAAAATTATAGGGAATGGTGCCAGTACAGCACTCTGCTTCCACACACAAACGTTAATCCAGAGAATACTCCTGCAAGATAAATACTGTAGCTGAGCCAGATCCCAAGCTCGTCTAAGTGAAGGGAGAAATTCCCTCTGAAGTCAATGGAAATTGGATCATGATAACACATCTAGAGAAGATTTAATATAGAAGTGAGTGACAGTAATTGATGCCCCGCTGGGACAATATTATCAAATTCCACCTAATTTGGAGCCAGTCAACCAATGCCAGCTGCACTATAATGTTTAACCAGGTGTTAAATAGAAGTGAGCTTCTTAGATTTTCTCTGTCAAGAGGAAACAAATAAAGATCACAGGAATCTAAAATAAAAGATGAACTTTCATGAACATCATTCTCATATTTTTTATCTTCTTCCCAATAATTGTCTATTACAGACAATCTTTTATTTTGTGCATTTATTTTTAAATGGACTCTTTTCTTAAACAGGGTAGTGCTTGGCTGAGATGATAAACCATGTGCCCTCTGCATTGTCCCTAATGAGGTGACTGTGATAATGTCATCCTCATCTTACTAATGGCAAAGAGAAGCTTAACGAGTAGCTCAGGGCCACAGGGGGAGAAAATTAAAATACAGGACTTCCTGAGTGCCAGTGCTGTGCTCAGATCAGTAAACTGTGCTACCTTTGAGAGAGGTGGGATCTTCCCAGTTCCTTACTGTTCCTGAAGCACGAGTGTTCCAGGTGGGCAGTGTGGAGGTGAGCACAGGCCATGCTGTACAGGAGTAAGCACTGATGCAAGGACTTTTCATGGGCACGTGGCTGTCCCACTGTGGCCTCACACTCCCTGGAACAACAGGTCTTTGGGATGATTGAGGGTCATCTGGGTTGATTTTGGGGGTTTGAGCTAGCACAACATTCTTCTAATATATGCCTCTGTAATTTGTTTCCCATTATGTGCTGATGAGCTAGCATGTAGGCTGGCATTGAATTAATCCCAAATGGATGCAGCAGAATTTCTCACAGCCAGGGCTGGGGTGGTTTCTGCCCCCTCCTTGACTCTGTGCTGCACCTCATCTTACTCATTCAAGTTGTAAATGCTGGCTAAGGTAGGACTCAGACCCCTCTCTCTGCCCAGAGACTGGTGGTCAGGCTGCACAGCCCCTGGGGAGGTGCCCACAGGAGCCCTGCTCACGGGGGGGCTCTGACAGCCCATCACTCCCCACTCTGGGATTGCTCTGACAAGCCACGGAGCCCGGGCAGTGCCCCTGCATCCAGGGTACCGACAGGATCAGCTCTTTTCTCTTTGCTCCCTTTTATTTCCACTAACTTCTAGTTTTGCCTTGAGCAGCAGATGAAGATGAGGACAAAGATGACGACTTCCGAGCTCCGCTCTACAAGAACGTGGAGATCAAGGGGATCCAAGTTCGGATGAAGTGGTGCGCGACCTGCCACTTCTACCGCCCCCCGCGCTGCTCCCACTGCAGCGTCTGCGACAACTGCGTCGAGGTAACACCCCCCACCCTGGGCATGCAGCTGGGGCTTCCCCCAGCAGGCCACCTCTTGGAGCTTCACAGCTGTAGCCTTGCTGCTGGACTCCTCCTAGGTAGTGCCCTTTGAAGCACAGCCCTCAGCTGTGTGTGCTACATGCACAGCTTGGTGGCAGCTTTGTCACCAGGGCTAATCAGAGTGAACATTTGTAATGCTGGCTGCGTCTGCCTTGAAGTAGCCATGGGATTGTGAGTGTAAAACAAGGGGTGAATGGGAGAGTCAGTTCAGAGGCAGGGTTCAGGAGAGCAGGAAATTCAGGGTGAACCGTTGTAACTTGTCTGTGTGAGCTTAGGGCTCATCATTTAATGGGGAGCAAACTGGTGACTGCATTAGTGGACAAAGAGAGAAGCAAGAATGGTGTGTGAGCTTTAGGAAAACCAAACTCAGGATTCAGGGAGTGTTTCTCCAGTCACTGGAAGGAGCCCATTGTTTCAACACCCCAGCTCAGACTATGAACTCATTCATGTTTCTAATGTTGGTTGCTCTGAATTATGGGACTTTCCTGATTCTCGATATCCTTAAGGTCTGGGTGAGTCACAGGGATTTTTAAAAAATAACCCCTGATAGTAAATGTGCTTCTGGGCTACAGAATCTCCCAAACATGTAAGTACAGAGCCCTGTACTCACTGCAGTGTATTGCCAGGGGACACTTTTTATTGCTGAGCTAAAAATTTCACTTCTTAAGGATCATTTCTGCTGCAAGGTCTATTTTTTTTTTTTTAATAGAAAGATGAAATCTTTAATATGTCTAAAATATATTCAGCTGTGCCATTAAAATGAAAGGAATTGCTAATCAGAGAAGGAAAAAATCCCCGAGTCAGCTGGAATGCTGTACACACTACCTTTGTCCTAATCCTCTTTGCCATAAGCAAGGGAATAGTCCCAAAGAAAGCAGCACAGTTACATGTGAGAGAAAGGCTGCCTGGATTTATCTTGTGTCAGTCGTTTTCTCCTTCAGGGCAATAGATATCTAAGTTATAATTATCTGGAAGCAGTGCTGTGCCTGGGAACCATCGATAAATAGGACAAGGCTGTCCTGTTCTGGAAGGCTTTGGAAGGATGTGGGATTTCAGAAGCCTGAGAGTAAGGGCTGCCAAGGTCCCTGGGTAAAGGGGAATAGCCACAGCTATTCATAAGTGGTGACACACAATTTGTTTAGGCTGCTGTGAATTGTTAAATAGAGCTGGATTTTTTGGTAGAAAACTTGAATCATGTATTCCTGGTTTTAAAACAGAAATGCTCTCACTAATTCTAGATCCTGAGGATTGTTTAGATGATGGTAAATTCTCAGTTGTCCTGTGGAATTTCTTCCTTCCACCTTCCCCAGTGGCTCGGCATAAAAATTCATTTGCAACAAATGAAGTTTTCTGAGGAAAAGATTACTCAAAACTCAGTGGTATAAACACTTAAGTTTCATGCTGCCATAAAGCCTCCATGGAGTCAGTTCTGCAGCAGCAATGAACAGGGGAGAGAATCCAAAGGGAACCTGCAGAAAATAGCAGAAGGCAAGGTGACTCTGGGTAGCCCTCCAGAAATTCTATTGATAGTCAGGTCAGTTGAACATTCCCTGCTATTTTGGGGCACAAGTAAGAAGCTCTGCTTGTAATTTAATTATGACTGCTGTGGAGGAATATAGGCAAAAAGCATTAATGACTTCTGAATCAATAAATCATGGTCTTAAACAGCATGTTTTATTGATTCTTGTGATGCTTATTTTCCACTCACCTGTCTATTTTAGGCCAGCACTGAGATGCCAGTGGGAGCCTCTCTGCTGATGTTCCCATGGAACCCACTCAGGGTTGTAATTCTTGTGTTTTCAGTTTCAACCTAGAATAAAATTAAAATTCTTTTCCCAAATATAAAACTTTTGAACTAATTTGATAAAAATGCACAAACAACAAAAGCAGACAACACTTGCAGAAATAAAAAACAGTTAAAACCTAAAACCTGCTGTTACCAGAGGGAGCCAAAAATGGATCTGTGACAGAAGTAGTCAGATTTTTGTTTTCTTTACTGAAATGTTTGCAGTGGGTACTTATAGTTTCATACTCCATAGGTATTTTGGGCTGCATACAACCAGATTTGCTTAACAGACAGATGTTGTGTCAGCATTTCAGATATAGCCTGAAATGATCTTTATAAAATTGCCCCTGCCATTTTTTAATGTGCTTTGAGAAAGCTCTAATCCATTTTCTTGTATTTTGTAAATTTTTGGTAAATACATTGTGCAAAACTTAGAAATATCAAACCATCATTGAGCAGTGTTTAAAAACAGCATTACCACAAAGCAAATAAACAGTTCTCTTGCTGATGCAGGGAGTGTGTAATGTCTGTTCTGCAGAACACAGAGGTAAGAAGGGGTTATTTCCTGCACCTGATCCTGTCCTCACGTCAGGAATAATCCCACTGAAGACAGTGGATTTACGTGCTTACAGAACTCTGTAAAGGCCTCTGAAAGGTGTCTCTGGCTTGCCCTCATTATTAAATCTCCTGTTAAAAGGCATTTGATCTTTTGTCTGAGACAAATAGTCAGGTTTGGGTTCATAACTGTAAATGAACCTGTGCAGAACTTTGCCTGTGTCTGATCCAGCTGTTGCTTTTCTTTATGGATCTGCTTGGTAAAAAAGTATATTTGGTGATGTCCATTGTTTAGAGTGGATTAATTCAGTGATATATAAATACTGAAATGTGGGACAGGGAATTCTGCAGCAGTATTGCATCTTGAAACCATTCTAGGTTATAATAACTTCATTGTAATTGACTCGTGCTAAGGATGATAAAAAATTAGGGCTTCTGCTGCTAGCAGATAAATAGACTGTCTTTTTTCTAATATATCCTCTCTTCAAACCCCATAAACACTCAAGTACCTCTCCATCCATAGACAGTGAAACAACTTGGTCCTAAAAAGAGTCTTACAAAGATAGTCAAGCATTCTGTAAAGCTGCAGAACTAGTCTGATGTAATTTTACATGACAGTGGTTTAGATTCATCTCTAAGACAATGTATTTTCTTTCACTGTTTGGATATTTTTCCCTGTGTCTCCCTTTCTTTACAAGGACTTTGACCATCACTGCCCATGGGTCAACAATTGCATAGGACGGAGGAACTACCGCTATTTTTTTCTCTTCTTGCTGTCCTTAAGTACACACATGGTTGGAGTGTTCACCTTCGGGCTCATCTTCGTGCTGAACCACATGGAAAAGCTGGGAGCAGCCCACACCACCATCACGTATCCTTCTTTCTGCTCTTCCAAGACCCCCGGTGACTGAGGAAAATGTGAAAGAAAGACTCTGAGGATTTGTCCTCCTGGAGCTGCTGGGGCCTCTCCTGATCCCCCTGTGCTCCTCTCCTGGGAATGCCCAGTGCAGGTTTCCCTCTGTCCCCACCGTGCTGTGTTCACATCCTTTACTCCAGAAACTGTGGCTGACCTTTTGTCTATCTCAGTCTTTGTCATGCAGAAGGATATGCTGCCTCCCTGAATTTTACTCACAGTCAGGTGTGACTCAGAGCTGCTGGGTGCTGTTTACTGTGTTTAAAACTCCATCACTGTATTCTAGAGCAGAGTTTGCTCTGGGAGCAGCCCCTGCCTGCTGGTGTAGTGTACTGAGGGGTGTCACTGCTCTTACTGGAGCAGTGCAGAGCATTCCCTACAGGATGGTCAGAGCCAGACTCAATGAGTTCACAGTACTTTTTACCAACTCAAGGGTAAGGACCCAGACTAGGAGCAGATGGACTTAACCTTGAGATAAAGTTTAGTTAGCCTCGCTTAAAAGGGCTACAGAAGAGCTGGGGAGGGACTTTGGTCAAGGGCCTGGAGTGACAAGACAAGGGAGAGCAGGCATAGTTTAGATGTGAGGAAGAAATTCTTCACTATGAGGGTGGGGAGGCCCTGGCACAGGTTGCCCAGAGAAGCTGTGGCTGCCCCATCCCTGGGAGTGTCCAAGGGCAGGTTGGACAGGGCTTGGAGCAACCTGGGCTCGTGGGAGGTGTCCCTGCCCATGGCAGGAGGTGGAATGAGATGATCTTTAAGGTCCCTTCCAACCCACCCCATTCTGTGACTCTGACACTCTCCTTGTTTCCAATATTCGTTCTCTCCTTTTCCTCTCTCTGTCTTTCACAGCCTCTTTTGCCCTCAGTCATCCCAGTTTCTTTAACTCTTGGATGCAGGATGGCTGTCATGTGTGTGGCTGGCTTGTTCTTTATCCCAGTCATTGGTCTCACTGGCTTCCACATAGTTCTGGTGGCCCGAGGGCGCACAACGAATGAACAGGTAAGAAGCAACCCCTTCTCTGTGTTTGTGGCTGAGCTGTGGAGTTGGGAAGGAAAGTCAGCAAGTCAGCTTGGGTAAAGCAAAAAAAATGATCCAAATCTTAGCAGTAACACTCTTACTGGAGCTTTTGTGAAGATCTAGGAAGATTGCCAATATTTTTTTATTTTCAGGTTTTTTTTTAATGCACTACAGGCAAAGATTTCCCCTTTCTAGCCACAGAGAATCATCCCAGGCTTATTTATCATTTAGAATCCACTCATGGCCTTGAAATAGGTTTTATGTGGTGAATACCATCCACCCCAGAAGTTCAAACTTTATGAGTCAGACTGAACAATCCATGAGACTGAGTGAAAGAAAGGAAAAGATTAAATCATGCCTTTGCCCTGTCTCCTGATATTTTGAACTCCCCCAGCAAGCCCACACTGCACATAATAAGGTCTGAGTTAGCTCTTTGTCTCTCTCTTGTTGTCCTGTGTATGAGCACACACACACTCGGCGCGATTGTGCCCAACTTGTTTTGCTTCTCCAGACCAAGTGCCAACACGGCATCTTGTGCCAAGCAGGCTGTAAAACCTGAGTTCCCCTGCAGGTCCTGCAGTGTCCATGATGCACAGCCCCTGTGGGGGTGATCCAGACCCACATGTGCACATGGATGGCTCAGTGTGGGTGACAGATCTAGTCTGGGGTCAGTGGCACGTCCTGGCTGTTCCTGAGGGCACCCTTTGCACTGGGGCAGGCACTGCCAGCCAGCTCACACAGCCCTTCCAGCCACGTTCCTCAGGCTCATTAACTGTGTGCATTCTGGTGCCTTACCCTGCCACAGCTCCAGCTCCAAAGCACCCCTCACATCGGGGCTTTTTTCACCTTTTGTGCCCCATCATACTTCCTTTCCCTTGTGGTTTGTTTCTTTTTCAGATGTGTTTTTGCTGCCCTTGCACCCATGGGTGCTCTGCAGCTCACCCTGAGCTGTCCTGGCAGTCCTGGGGGCTGCTGGCTTCCTGCCTGTGGAGCTGCAGGGCTGCCACTGGAGACATCTGTCTGAGGCCAGGCCCTGTAAACTGAGATGGCATTGTGTCCTGTCCCACCAGAGACAATAAAAACTCTTATCCACAATAGTGGGGGAGGTTTACATAAGCAAGGAGTCTGAAGTCATCCTGAACGGTTGCCTAACATGGCCTTTGAACAAAGCAGGCTTCCATAGCTGTCATCTCCAAATGCTTCTCTCTGTCCTGCTCAGAATCATCTGCTCTTCATTTTAAAATTGATTTTGGCCAAGTATTAGGCTTGATAGTGCTTATGATAGTAGCATGAAACTCAGGGCATTTTGGACTCCTGGCCCAAATCGTGGTTTGCCTTAGGCTTGTCTTTGTGCAGAGATGAAAATTTTAGGCTGAGGAAGAAGGAAAAATTTTACTTCAAAAAAACTGAAATTTAACTTCTTGTCTTTGTGGCTGCAGTAACATTTGGGAAGGTTGAGAATTTCTCATTTAACTTGATTGAAACAACTGTTACAAAATGTATCCTAGCTTGGATTGGTTTCCCGAGCTACCAAACCACTTGAGATTTAATTTATCTTCCCGTGCCATTCTGAAAATTAAATATGATCTGGTCTTAATTTCTGTTTAGTCATATGTAGTGGCTATCTGTAACTGAAAGATGGATGTTCCCAGCCTTCAGGTCCCTTTCAAAGGAAGTATATCTAAGTAATTAGAGCACCAGACCAGGAGTGATGGATATGAGATCTGCTCCTGGATTTGCCACTGTTCTAAAACATTCACTTTTTTCCTACAGCCAGTGTTGATTCTCTTTTCTTGCACTGGTAGTTATTTGTTGTCAGTTTTCCAGTTGCAATATGCTCTGTTTCACTTGTCCTCTTTTCCCAGTACATTTTATAGGCCAGTGGTACAGACATTTTTGGGTTTTTGCTGCAAATTTTTGGTATTTGTTCATTCCAGAGTTTGTTCTGAGCATTCGTAGTAGGCAGACTGTGATTTAAATGTGCATAGTGGCTGAGTTTAGATGTTTGTGAGCTTTCTGAATGCCTCTGAAATTCTTTTATGGAATCAAAATAACCCATAGTCCAACATCTGCTTATATCCTGGTATTTTTAGTTTCTGAATAGAGTAAATAAATATCCTTCCTTCTGAGACTGCTTTCTATCAGTGGATTTCAAACTACTTTAGAAACCAAATTGATATAATTAGTACTGTAATCTGTGAGTTAGAGAAATTTTATTTTTATTGTGTTTGAGAAAATGAGCACAGAGAGATAAAATGCTTTGCCAGCATCTGGCACAATTCAGCTTAAGCCTAGGATTGAATGCAGATGTGCCAAAGAGCCCAGGCCCACGTTTTAGTCATCAGGTTACTCTTCCAGCTCTCAGAACTTCCAACATATCTCTCTTGGCCTTTTCAAGAGTTTTATGTTATATCAACAATGCCAGCAGAATATATTGCAAAGTCACTTAATTGTGAAAGTGACTTAATTGTGTTATTTCATGTGAAAGTAATTTAAGTATTTCTGGTACTCTGTAAACTTGTTGCTCCATCAGAACTACGAGTTGATTAAAAACCCTTACATGCAAATAGCAACAGTAACGCTTTTAGAGGCAACCACTATTAATCTCCCTGGCTTTTTTGGGATCTGTCCCCATATGATTACTTTCAAGTATCTCTCTGTAGAGTACAAACTCTTTATAATGCTTGTGAAGCCTTGGATGGATCCCTCCAGTCTAACGAGGCTTGGCTTTTATTAAACGTGCTCATTTCCAAGCAAACATTGTAATCACCGGGGAGTTCTGGCACCCTCCTGCATAAAGCACTGATTTGTACTGATTGCTGCTAGGGAGGGGATCTGAGAGAGAGGAAACATTGCTCTCATCCAGCATTACAGACGTGGATTTGACATTCCTGTTGGTTTGGAGAGGACTTGCCAAGGCAGAGGAGTGGAAGTGACGGGAATGAAAGGAGCCAAAATGGGCTGTTTGGCTGAGAGCAGGCACAAATCCAGGCAGGAGCAGCATGGAGAGGTGAACATATGCACTTTGAAACCCAGTCACATTGAGCACACTGTCCTTTTGGGAAGGATCTTCATTTGAGTGCCTCCTGGCTGGAATTAGCTGACGGAGGTGATGTGTTAGAGCTGGAGAGAGGAAGTGCAGCATTCAAAGTAACATGATCTGTTTGGGAAGGACAGAAGGGTCAGAGCAAGGCAGACTTGTTCTTGGCTTTCTGAAGGTTGGATGATGACTTTGATATAAGCAGAGGTTTGAGCACTGTCCTGACTGTGTTTCCAGGTGACAGGTAAATTCCGCGGGGGAGTGAATCCTTTCACCCGAGGATGCTGTGGGAACGTGGAACACGTGCTCTGCAGCCCCTTGGCTCCCAGGTAGGAGACACACTGGCAACTGGGAGTGAGGGAGGCAGAGCAGCTGTTGGGACAGAGGAAGAAAATGTGCTTGGTTGGGCTCACAAGCCAAAGATCATTGATGAAATAAGAGAAAAGTAAAGCGAGACAGTCCTGAAGGCAGAGCTCTGTGGTGGCTCTTCCCTCTTGCATGGCTGTGACCTGTCCAAGCTTTCTTCATGTAATTCACAACCCTTATCCCAGAAATACTTATTTGGAGTGAGCAGGTCAAATTATGTCAAGAGCTGATAGCTTTGTCTTCAATAACTTGTTTGTCCATATCAGTAACAAGGGAGGTTTCCATATGTTGTCATACTCCCCACATGACTTCTTACACTGTGCAGTCAAGGTCCGGGCTGCTGGAGAAAAGGAAGGAAGCTAAAATCAGCCTTTCTCCTTAAGACTTAAATCTAATTTAAGTCTTCTGTGGTTTTCAATCTCACTGGCACTTTCATTATCATAAAACAGATCATCAGTGAGGTCTACATCACAGAACTTGGGATTTTATTAATGGCTTTCTATTTTTGGGGAAATAGATTTATCGTGTCACATTTTGAAATCAGGATCTTAATGCAGGCGATCAGATGGACTATAAATATCCTAGGTGCTGGGCTGTCCAGCCTGCAAACGTGTTAATAATCTTACTACAAGACTTATTTGAGCCTTTTCAGGGTATTGAGCAGTTCCAGACCCTGACACTGTTATCTGCCTTTTTCCCCCCCTTTATTATGCAACAGGTAAGTCCTAAAGGATTGCTACATGTGTTAATGTAAAGACACTGAAGTAGCTGCTTCTCAAACTTATCAAAACATGAAAATCGGGTCAAGATACATTAGAAGAGCCAGATATTAGAAATTGTGAGGCACTCCTATTAAGAGAGGGGTGTAAGTACCATCATTGTGGCTATTCACAGAATTGTAGCAAGCAGGACTTTAGTGTTTGGTGAAGACCTGTTCACATTGTCCTGCATATCGAAATCACTGAGCCATCACTACTAGAATGTCCTGTTCACTACAAAACCCAGAGAAAGCTGGTGTGTGTCTTGATGTTTAAGCATTGTACAGCCACTGGCCACTTTCACTTACAGAATTCTGTTCCACTGGAAAGAAATTAGAGATCTGAAGTCAGCCATTTCCCTTTAGATTTCTTGCTTCCTACAGACCTGTCTGCCTCTGTTACCTCCATTTATTTGAACACTAAACATGCCTCAGAAACAAGTCACCACGTGGTAAGTCAGAACTGGCAGCGCATCATCTTCTCCATGGTAACTCCCCACATGCTGGGTCTTATTCCCCCAGTCCTGGACTCCCACTGCAGGGCAGCTGGTTCATGTTCACTGGGTGAGATCTGGTCAGTCACTTCTGTTGGTGATAGGCCTCTCTTGCTCTCTTCATGCTCTTTTCCACCAGTGCTTTAAAAATTGTGCTTTTTACTGCATCCTCTCCATTTGCTCACTAAAAAAGCCCCATTGATCTTTTTACTGCTGTTCAGTTATCACATCTGTTGAAATAAATGGAGGTTGCTTACCTAGATTCTGACACATTCTTAAATCATAACCTGGAAGCAGGAAGATTTGCTTGTCTCTAAGCCTCGTTCTTAGATTATTGTTTATTTTAATGATGACTGTTGCCCAATGAATCAGGTATGTAATGGAGCCCAAGAAGAAGCAGGCTGTGAGTGTGAAGCCTCCTTTCCTCAGACCTGATTTATCTGAGCGACAGATCACAGTGAAGATCAGTGACAATGGGATCCAAGCCAACCTCAACCGCAGCAAGGTGAGGCAGCCTTCAGGAGCTGCTTGGGAAGGGCAGGGGTTATCAAGGGGTATGGGAATGAGTCTGTCATTGACAAATCTCTCTGGGATGATGAGGCATTTCTTGGAGAAGGTGACAGAGGTTGAGTCTTGTCATATACTTCATCCTCTGAAGGTAACCCAGGTTCAGCAGCAGCAGCTCTTGATCCAGGAGCAGTTGGTAACAGGCAGCTCTAGAATGGAAAGCCTCTGGGCTTCTCTTGGCAGAGGTGGCTGTTCTTTGCAGTGGTTATTTTCTGTCCCAAGAGTTGTCACCCCTTGATGTTCAAATTAATTTTAGTGAAACCCTGTACCATCAGGTCAGCTTTTCTGTTTCCAAGAATGTTCTGAGCTTCCAGGCTGCAGGAACACTTGTGGTCCAGTGAAAGGAATATTGACTCAGAAGCTGAGTTCTTTTATCTCCTCTTTTTTCTTCACTTTCTTCTGGCATGAATAGAGAGAAAGATTTTTTAGTCCTGTAGAAAGCAGTAGATTCAAAAGAAGCCAACTTGCAAGATTATTGTGGATAGTTACTTCTTACAGTCTTTGGAAAGTTGCTTGCTGAGAGCTACCTGGAAAGCTGCTGAAAAATGCTAGAAAACACCATTGTCTTCTACCACATATGAACTAGTGTGATGATAATGGTATTTAGCATGCCAAGTAGACCAGCATAGTGCAGTTAAAATTATACTGGCTTGTTATGACAGTGCTGATTTGACATGTCCTTGTCTGCAGTGGATGCTAAATCCTGCTTGTCATTACAGGTATGGGTAGTTCTTGTTCTGTGATACATCTAGCACTCTGACACATGCTGTTGTTTAACCAAGTTTCATGCAATGATTGATTTTTTTTTTTAATCATTTTCAGTCTAAAATTAGCCTGGAAGGTCTGGAGGATAAAAGTATGGAGGGCCAACCACCTCTCCCACCCAAAGGAGATCCAAGCAAGTACTCAGAGCTAAAAGGGCAGCTGGGTGCCAGTGAAGGTACAGTTGCATGATCAGTGTTTTATTTTTATTAATAAGAAAATATTTCAGCCTCTTTAAAAAGCCTGTGGTAATCTTTCAAAACATTAACAGGACCTGGGTGAAGGGTTTTTTTCTATTTATAGGAGTTCCAAGCTAGGGAAATTTACAGCAGGAAAGGGAGAGAAAAGTCAGCTTGAAGTGGTTAATTCAAACCTAGGTTGGATATTTCTATCAGTTTTACTTAACACCTTGATGCTATTAGAAAAACCTTTTTTTTTTTTTTTTCAGATAAATCCAGTAGCTGATTTCAGCCCAAAGATCTAGTATTTCGAATTAGGCTAAATTACTACTCACCAAAATATGTCACCCCACTTAACATACTATACTTTGTTTCTTCTTCCCATTACCTTGCTGATCTGGCAGCAATGTGCTGTTACTTCCACAGGGGCTCCTTGATTTTTGTGGAATTCTGCATAAAAGTACTGCGAGTTTTGTTCTTCCCAGAGCAGATCTGTTTGTGGAGGACCCCGGATAGGGAGGAATGATGGATGGTAGCTTTCTGTGCACACCCATTCTAACAGAAAGTCCTTTTTTTTTTTTCTTTTGCAGAAGGTGGCCTTTCACCCAAACTCATCAGCCCCCCCACTCCTGCCATGTACAAGTACCGACCCGCTTTCAGCAACAACCCCAAAGTTCACTACCACGCCACGGCCGAGCAGGTGAGTGAGCCTGGCAGTGTCTGCTCCCAGCCAGGGCAGTGTGGAGCTGGGCATGAACTCCCTGCCGGGCCCCAGTGAGTGTCAGTGTCAGAGTTTTAATCAGGACCCGTGGCACTGTTGTGTGACACTGCATTATTGTCACTGTGCTCCCCATGAACACAGGGCTGATGTCACAGCTCTCCTCTACTGAGCCTGACACGTCTGTCCTGCTGCTGGGCCAGTGTTTGGGCCTGACCCTGAGATGCTGACAAGTGTCACCTCCCACTGTCTTCTCCTGACACAGGTGCCACCCCACGTTCCCCTCAGAGGAGCTGGGCATGCTGAGCACTCCTCTGGATCAGACCCCTCAGCCAACAGTCACTATGCTCACGTATTCCTTAAGATGGCAGCTTGCAAAACAGAAAGAACTTTTAAAACATCCCAAGAGATATTTTAGTTAAAATTAGTGGAAGACTCCTCATATTTGACCTTCCTTAGTACCTTTTCAACACAGTTGGGTTATATGGAAAAAAACCACCTTCCTAACACTTGGCATCGTTTTCTCCCACAAAAAAAACTGAGGCCCAAAGAATTAGAGAGATATGCTCTGGATTTTCAACAGTTTTCTCCTTTTTTTAGGAGTTTTGGAGCATATTTTCTCATGGATTTATTGAAAATATTCCTTGGCTCCCAGAGATGCAATATAGATCCAGGAGAGGTTCTGGTTAGGCCAGGAGCCTGGGCAGTGCTGGGAAGTGATAACAGGGTCCAGCACCTTCACTCTGAGTTGCTGTTTCAATCCTGACCTACAACAGTGTCATTGCTGTGGGCTGACTGGTGTGAATACAACCAGCTCTGGGGACTTGTTCAATTTTGTAGCAGTCACAACTGTCTGGTAGTCAGGTGGGAATATCCTGAAGTGGAGTTCACTTGGCAAGCTGATGGGAGGACGTGCCTCTGTCTGCCAAGCCTGAGCAGGGCACAGAGGGAAGGATGAGGTGAGGGATGCCCTGGTGTCTGTTCTGTGGCACTTCTTCACCTGTCACTGTGATTCTGCTTTTGAGCAGCGAAAGCTGGTAGGAAACAGGGATCAGGACAGAAGAATAAGCAGCACAAATAAATCACGTCCTTGCTCTCTCATCCTCCTCTACAGGCTGCCACTTGGTCTCCTTTTTCCAGAGAAGGCCAAATTTAGCACCATGCTCTGGAAGAGAGTGAGCTGTTTTGCATATTTCTCTATCTTCTAACTCAAAGAAAAAAACCTTTAAAAGCTTCACAATAAAAGAGATTTTTATAATTTAGCTTTTTCTTTATAGCTTTCCTTTGAAAGAAACTAGATAAAGAATAACCTGTGTAGACTGCATTTGTGATTAAATATGTGACTGATAATAATTCCTGTTTGCAGAACCAGTGCAGCCAATTTATTGTGCATTATGGTAAACTCTTCTTCAAAAATAACAGCAAAAATTATTTGCTTAGCACAGAATGGCATTTTAAGTGAACAGAACTGTAAGCAATTTTCACAGAGTAAAACAAAGTGAAGTCTTATCTGTTTTCATTGCATAAATAAATTATGGCCTCTGATTCCTTCTCTGATGTGGCCACTTTGTCCTGCACAGGCAATAAAAAAGAGAAAATTGCTTCATTTTGTTGTCTAAATGGTAGGAAGGAGCCTCTCTGCTTTAATTAAACTTATGTGCCTAATTTTGAAGACCTATGACCAGAAATTCAGAATTACTGAATATTCATAGCACAGAGTAAAGTGGATAAGAGTGTTCTGGTCCCCAGTGTGTTGAAATGAAGCAGAAAGTATTTCTGTCTCAGCACACAAAACCAGACATCCCTCAACTCAAGAGCTATTTGTAGAAAACTCTAAGTGCAGTGGTTTTTCCAAGGGCAGTATTATCAGATTACAATCTGATTTACCTTGTCTGAGACTTGAGCCTCAGTTTAGGTCTCACATTCAGTGTTTTCAATGTCCATGTATTAGCTTATCTATTACTGTCAATATTATTTAGCACTTAGTATGAATAGCTCCTCCTTGCTTCTAAGGTGCTAATCCAGGTGCTAAACAGGACTGAGGAGACTCCTTGTAATGAACCTGTGTCATAGCTGGGATCTGAGAGAAGACCTCCAGCTCTTTCCTTCCCCTGCAGTCCCTGTGCAGAGCAAGCCTGTACTGACATGACACTGGCTTCTGTTTCTCATGTTCACCTCTGTTTTAGATCACCCTGCAGGAGGGACACAGCCAAGGGGCTTTGATAGAAGAGGATGGCAGGAGCCTTGATTACCAGTCCGAACCCAGCCTGGACATCCCCAGCTACAGGAAGAGCTCCCTCCACAAGACCTATCAGTCTTCCCCACTGCAGATAGATTCCTTTGCCATCAACTCACGATCCCTGAGCCTGAAATCTGCTGGCAGGAGAGGGACAGACAAAGTGCCCCTTCATCCCATGAAGTCTGAAGGGGCGGCTTCCACCCCTTACAAAAGCATCTTTTCTCCCAATTCCCTGTCCAACAGAAACGGGAGCCTTTCCTATGACAGTTTGCTGAACCCCATGTCCCCCTCGGGGAGGAAGTGCATGGCCCACTCTGCAGTGAGCTCTGTCGGGTACCACTCCCCGTATCTGTCAGCCAAAATGTGCCACCTGCGGGGCAGTGACCTGCAGCACCAGCCCCCCCAGAGCTTCAGCCCCGTGCTGGGGGCTCCGGCTCCGCACCAGCGAGACCCCTCCCCGGTGCGCTACGACAACCTTTCCAAGACAATTATGGCGTCCATCCAGGAAAGGAAGGAGATGGAAGAGAGGGAGAAGCTCCTCCACTCGCACCCCGACTCGGTGTTTGCAGACTCGGGTGTCTATGACACCCCCAGCTCCTACAGCCTGCAGCAGGTCAGCACACTGTCCGAGGACCCGCGCGGCATGGCCATGAGATACGGGTCCAGGGACAATCTGATGGCCGCCACCAGCTTTAGCACAAGGAACCCTATACTGCAGTCCTCAGTGTCTTCACTCTCAAGTGCAATGACAAGAGCACCAAGGACTTCCACAACCTCTCTGCAAGCTGATTTAGCCAATAATAACGTGCAGTCCCACCAGGCGCTGCAGGGCAGGGTGAGCAACGGCTCCTACAAATCCCCGGGCCACCAGGTCCCGTCGTCCCCCACAGGGATGCCCAGGTCACCCTCCTACGGAGGCCCGAAGGCCGTGTCCTTTGTGAACACTGTGGAAATCACGGAGGTGCAAGCAGTGGGAGCACAGAGGTACGTACTGCCCCGGGAGTGCTTGGCCATGGCAGCCTGCCCTTGGCTGGAGGCACGACCCAGGTGACACGTTTGCTGTAGGCCATGAGGGTGGGGGGTTGTGGGTGCTCTTCAGTTCCGTGACACCCCCACAGCAACGTCATCATGACAAAATGTTAGCACGTGTGCTGTAGCTTGAACTGCAGGTGGTTGAGTCAGTTGTATAAGTCACAGTGAATTGTAGTCATAAAGATTATTTGTCTAAAGATTATTTGGAAGATCTAACTTTCAGGAGGCAGACAGCCATTTTCTCCTCTTCATATGTGTTTAAAAAATGAGCCTGTTTCAGTGAAAGAAGACCTGTGGACTTTCCTTTGCCTCTCTGCCCTCTGTTTGAGACCTGGCTGTGTCAGCTGCTGCTCTAGGAAAGATGATGATAGGAAAAGCTGTTTGCTTTTTCTCAGTCTCTGGTTTTTGGTTCTATCGCTGCTTTTACACTGTGTTTATTTAAAAGGTAGAGCCTGTAAATTCACTTCAATTCAGCTCTTTGAGGTTATGAAGAATACAATGTCTGGCAAAAGTGGTCTAGCTATTAAAATAGCTACAGGTCCCATCAGGTGTTAAAGAAAGTGGCAGACATATGAGAACATTGCAGAGGATTTTTTTTACTGAAGTTCCTAAAGTCAAGTACCTAGATTAATAAATAAATAACTTAATAAACTAGTGAAGTAAACCTCCCACAAGCATTCTGTGCTTTGTAAACCTGGCACATTTTCTCTGGCAGTAACACTACAAATGACTTTCCCTTCTCTCCTTTCCCCTAAGATTCCCAAGCTCCTTCGTGCCTCATTTCAGGAGGCAGACTGTGTTCTTCAGGAGATTTCAGCACTAAACTAGGGCTTTGATAATACTCTGTTGAGGCAAATTTAGCATTTGGTCCCTACATATTTCAGCTGTTTGGGGACACAGCAGTGTTTTATGAAATCACCCCATTAGTTCCATCTCTGTCTGTGTGTTTTGCTGGTTCAGATGCCCACAGCTCCAGTCTCTGGTGGAAGCACAGCTCAGCCACGTCGGGCTGGTGGGAGCGGATGGACCTGCTGCTCCAGCTCCAGGAGACAGCTGTCAGACCAGATTGCCACAGAAAAAGTGGCAAAAACTCCAAAACCCTCTGGCCTCCAGGAAAGGTCAGGGTGGTCTGAAATAGCTGGGGCTGCCTCTGTCTGCAGGCAGCAGGAAGTGTTCTGTCCTGGAAGGGACGTCAGCCCCCGGTCACTGCTGTTGGCAGGAGCTGCTCTTAGACTTGAGAGTGAGGCAAAGCCCTGCAGACATCATCCAGCCCTGTGCAGGAGTGAGGCAAAGCCCTGCAGACATCATCCAGCCCTGTGCAGGAGTGAGGCAAAGCCCTGCAGACATCATCCAGCCCTGTGCAGGAGGACACTGAGGACACAGCAGCCCCCAGTCATGCTGATACTTCCAGAGCATACACAAGTTCTTTTGTAGGTTTTTATCTAATTACTTCAAGAATCCTGGGGAAGAGACACATTATGCTTTAGTGTGTAGTAGCCTGGATTTAGAAGATCTTTTGAGGAGAGCCTGTTGTCCATGCTCCCTGGCACTAAGTCAGAAAAAAGGAAATTATTTTAAAGAGTCCATCTGGATTATGGTCTTTAATTACAGGCATCCTAGAATACTTCCTGACTTGATTCAGTTTATGTCTTCTGTCACAAAGAAGTCTTACCAATCCACCTGTCTTATGTGTTTTAGAGATGAGCAACATAATTTTATCTCAATATTTAGCTAGGAAATGGTTTTTTTTCTGAATATTTTCTTTCTGATTGTAAGACACAATTTGGCTTAAGGTCAGTAGTGGTGACAGTTAAACCCTCCCACATCCTACAGATGTTTATGCAATTAATTTAAATCAACAAAGCATTTAAGCAAGTAATTAAATGAACAAATATTACTGGGGTCTTATCCACTAACCTAATGGCCAAATAAATTCTCTCATTTCAGTGGCTTTTCATCCAGTGCATTGGCTTCAACCAGCTTTCTCCCAGGCTTGAATATTTTGCAATCCTGGGACTCAGGGTAACAGGGGTGATTGTTTATCCTGAGTGAAGCCATTCTGCTATCACACTTTGTCACTAACATTGCATCTTTTGATGTTTCCTTTGATGCAGGGATGACATGCAGTTGAAGACACCTCACAGTAAAATCAATGGACAGCCAAAAGGAATAGTCAGGTTGGGCTCCACATCAAGTTCCCAAGGGACCCCTGTCAGCCCTGCTAGACACTCAAATGTTAAGAAGGTGTCTGGAGTTGGTGGAACAACCTATGAAATTTCAGTGTAAAATAAAATTAGTTAAAAATAAAGAGCCATCCACTCAGCCAGCCATGAAGCTAGGAGCACTGTGAAGACTCAAATAACAACAAAGAAGGAGCAGCAGCGGCCGGCCACTCTCCTTTTCTTGTTTTGGGTTTGTTCTGTTTTCATCTTTCTCTTCTGGCCAAAAACCAGCTGCAGCCTTATTCTTGAGGGAATTAAACTGTACAGTCTATCAGACTCTTCCTGAAGAGGGAAGGGAACTGGCAGGAACTGGCTACGACCTGACACCACGGCCCCGAGGGTTCCCTTCCTGCGGGGGAGCGCTGAAGCCATCGCGCGTCTGTCCAGCGAGTCTCTCGTGTACCAGTTGTGCTGTGACGGTCAGTCCGGGGTCATTCAGCTTTCCCATGCCTGTTCCCAGTTCTCCTGGCCAGTGATGTGTCCAGCAGGAGCCAAGGACCACCTGCTGTTTTCCTGCTGCCATGGAAGGCAGGTTTCCTGTGCGAGAACTGCCCCGCGTCCCCCCGGCACTGCCGCTTGGGTTCCTTCTCCTGGGAAGGAGCAAGGCAAGGCCACTTGGGCTGCAAACACCATGTCGTCTTCAAAAGCCTCCCTGGTCCTGGATGGGAGCAGGAGAAAGGATCTCAACAGCTTCTCACTGTCTGCCAGTCTCCTCCCTGTGTGTGACACTGTGTGTGTGTCTGTCTCTCGTGGAAAAGGACCAGGAAGGATCTTCCACTGACCTCTCGCTCCCTCTGGGTTCTAAAGGCTTCTCTGACTCGGAAGCAGAACCAAGCAGATAAGAAAGGAAATGTTTGGATGGGAACATACTTTAAACAGCCGTCAGCTGCTTTCCCTGCACCCTCCCTGTTCCCCGTTGGATTTAGGCAATAACCTGGTTTACTGCCCTGCCCTGGTGCCGTCTGTGTAATCCCACAACAAGGTTGTCATGAGCTGTTGAATTTACAGTGTGTGTAACTGAGCCAAGTGTACATCTAAAGGATATAAATTTTCTGTCTGCCTAATTACTAGCACATTCCCTTTGGTCTTCAATACTGTTAGACAAAGGATTTTCCATTTGGGTTTTTTCCCCGGGGAACAACTTTTTAAAATAGTATCAATCAAATCTATTTAACATTCTGAGGTTTCCTTTTCGTGTCTCCAGAAAAGTACATTTACTTTGTTGGATTTAAAGACAACTTTACTATAAAAAAACAAGAAAGGGGTGCATTACTTTTATCACAAATATGAGGACTCTGGCAAAGCTAATTTTGGGACAAATGGATTTTTATTTCTCTGTTCCTTATCTCCTTTTCCTTCCCATGCAGTTACCACCTCAGAAGTCAAAAGTACTGAGATCTGGACCAATGCTAACTAGCCAGATCACGTGTGCAATTAAGAATATCCTGAGCGACTGTTGCCAAAGTCACTAAAAATTATTCTTTTATCACTGAGCCAGTCAGCATACGAAACCTCGACTTCCCACCTGGTTCTCCTGGTGAATGGTTTTGACTAGAGAGCTAAATCCATCATTTTTCAGGATATTTGTTTCAAGGGGTTAAATCCTTTTCAATCCTTGACTATAATGAGGAGCTCTCCAGGTATTTGGTAGCAATTCAGAATGTGTTGATAACATCTTATTTGTTTTCATGTATGTTGAGATTAATTGTTCCAGAAGGCAAATACTGACCTTAGTTTTGCCTGGTTAAAATTTGTATTTTAATTTGATAAATCTTGACATCTGCTGCAATACATGGTTATTATGTCCCTTGTATATCACATTATTTTTTGGGGACAAAGGTTGAAGAGAACATAAGAAAGTTAATCATCTCTCTGTGGAATGCTCTGTGTTGCCTGAAGGGAGAAACCTGGAAAGCAATGCACCTGCAATAGGCTGAAGTTCTGAGAGAGGGAAGTAGAAGTGATATTTTCAGTGCCTACTGTAGGGACATTGCAGAGCAGAGAAGCAGTAGTCCTTCTATGCAGATTTGCTCACTGGCATGTAGAATATTGTCTTTAGTTGGATGCACCACGGTACCAGAAAGATGCTGGCAAACTGGATCAGGTACACATGGAGCAATATGTATTAAAGGACTGGCTGGGCTGGCTAATGAGATGATTTAAAGGGCTAAAACGTGCCACTGGCGAGGCAATGAAGGGGAAATCAAGTATCATAATTGTACAGATATGTTAATTAAAAGTTGCAAAACCAAAGGTAAATCAAAGGGTTGTCACTGGTAACCAATGGTCTCCATTTAGAAGGGGGCACAGAAGCTGGAGGAGAAGGGGCAGTGGAATAGTCTTCCAAGGCAGAGTTTTGGAGCCAAAGTATTCAGGACAGTCAAACTATATTTGGACAAGTCATTAAAAGAATTTCTGTGAGAGGTGAGCCTGTGGGGACAAGAGGCTAGACCAGATGGCCTTATAGATTTCTTCCATCTTTAACTGTTACTAATCTGCCATCTACCCTGATGTTAACTCCTCAGGAGGATGCAGTACTTCCTTAAGGACTGGAATTCACTCTGGTGCATAGAGTATCACAAGAATTACTTGTTTTTAAAGTATCACCTATGCCATATGTAAGCCCTGAAAAAGAGGGGATATGAGACACAGGGAGTTTGGGCTTGGGAGCTGGACAAGGGCACATCTGATCATGTATCTTTGAATACCTACATGAAATTCATGCAAGCAAGGCTGAAAATTTGCACCAGTGTAACATTTGAGATTTGCATCCCAGTGATGCTCCACTTTGATCGTTCTTTCTCTTGCATTTATAAATGAAAAAGCTACTGAGGAACTTGAAGGGCCAAAGAGCCTTTGAAGTTAACTACATTAGTTCATGAGAGAATTTCTCAGTAAGACTAAACACAGTATTGTGTGTATAAAGCACTAATATCCAGGGTTATTTTGACATAGTTCACAAGGGGTAAGGGAGGGAAAAATGAATGCACTGTGTCAGTACAGGTTCAGAAGTAAGGATTATGTATTTTGTGAGTAGTTTTGCCCACAGTTGAGAGACATTCAACTTCTTCATAGGTTTACAATGGTACCAAAGTCTTTTTTTTTTTCCTCTTGAGGTTTGCATTTAGTTCAGTGCACATAGCCTGGAGTAAATGATTCAAATTTTCTGAAAGAATAATCTAAGCAGAACTGTTAACAGGAGATTGCATGCAGCAAATCCAGCCTCATTTTCATCCAAGGCACTGAGCCTGCAGTTATTTTCTCATAAATCTAAGTGTCTGTTTCCATAGTTCCTGTTGTGGGGCTGGGGACCTATTTATTAAATCCAGTTTTTGAGCAGATCCAGCCCATGTTAAAGTATAGTTCTTTAAGCAGTTTACAGATTAGCAGCAAGGTTCTTCTGCCCAGATAGCCTATTTTTACAGACACTGCAGGCCAAATCTTCAGCTGGTATAAATTGGTGTGGCTCCATCAAAGCTCATTTAATTGATGCTAATTTGTAGTAGGTGGGGATCAGCCATGAAAATCCAGCATGAGTTAACACATCCTGTAAAGTAGCTTCTTTATTTTTGTCATGCTTATTTCACGTGTCAGAAGTCTTAAATATTGTCAACATGTTTTTATTTGTAGCTGTGGATTGTATTACCTATTTAAAAAACAGCAATAGTTTTTGTTTAGTTTATGCCTCAGTTTTCATTGCATATTGCATTTTATTAGCAGTTTGTTCCCTGTTCATACGCTCCCATTTAGCCTCCAGGTTTTCATTGTAGTACAACCTGCCTTGAAAAGTTGGATCTCTGTATCTTTAATTGTATAATATATTGAGTATTATGAAATTAAATGTACCTTACTACATGGGTGGGAGAGAGAGGAAATATTTTTACTTGAAGCCTTAATATTTTCTTTTTTTACTACTTTGTTTGTTGACCTCATAGGAAAGTCTGAATAGCAAAGACTTTGAAACTCCGGGCCAAATACTGCACTGACAGACAACCAGCATTTGGCCCCCATGTCAAAACTGGATGCAGACATAACCTGAAGTGAACAAGGGAAAAGCCTCAGGGTGGCATATCTTCCTGAAGATCATTGATACAGTCTCAAAATACGTCTGTAAGCAAGTACATTAAAGAATTCTTCAAGTCTTGAATTTTAAAGGAAGGTGATAGCAGGAACTGCCCTAATATCTTACATTTGCTTTTTTATTTATTTTTTTTTTAAATTAAGCAAAACAAATGTATTTACTCAGTTTGGTTGAAGGCAGCTCTGAGGGTTGCACAGAGCTGTGTGTCAGTGGCCACGTGCAGCAAATGAGCTGGGCTGTGTTGCTGCTCTAATTGCTAACCAAGCATAACGTTGGGGCAGCTTGGCCTGAGAGAATCCCCTCCTGGGCATTCCCGGGGACGTTCCTACTCTCCTGCAAGCCTAATGTGGAAATTGCAATGTGGTTTTCTTTGGACTATATCTGTGGGCCAGACTAGAGATATATAGAGAGATATATATATATAGTCAATATTTTTTTGTGTGTGTGGGAAAGATGGGGTCAAGCTTGCTGTCTCTGACAGTCTGGGAAGTTGATGTCGAACCGTTTTTATGGTCTGTATTTCACCTGTTCTGCCACCTTGAATTGTTGGAATGTATCCGTGCAGGCTTTGTGGAGCTCTGTCTGTAACCTTTTTTGTGGCTCTCGTAATACATATATATTTTTTAAACCTTTGAGTCACTTCAGTATTTTCGAGTGTCCGTTTCTGCCCCGGTGCATTCGTTTGCTGAGCTGGCTCCTGGTGCTCTGCCCTTCCTCACTTCCACTGGTGCAAAATGTGCACTGAAAGAGTAGAACTGGAAAGGCCAGTTCCAGTGCAAAGTCTGCAAGTGACAAAACATTAAAAGAAGTGACTGCAGGTTAAATCTCATTTTCAAGATGCTTATGGTAGAGTAGGAAATATGCTCTGTCTTTAAATTGTCTCCTGGTTGTGACCAATGAAACGTGTTTGTGAGGTCACAGCAAGTGGTCCATGAAACAACACTAAGTGAAGTTTTCTGTACTGTTTTTAATTCCAGTTGTGGGGTTAATAGGGATCCTGTGGTCCAGGACAATTGCAAATCATTGCTACAGAGCCACTGGAAAAAAAATGTTATAATGGTATTTGCTGCAATGTTCTGTCCAGATCCTCTGGGTTTATAAATCCCAAAGATGTACAGTTCTTAGTCTATCTTCATCTGCCTGTTTCTGGTCTTTGAAAATATGTCCATTTGATCTGTCAGGCTGGCTTACAACATGCACAGTTGCCAAGCCCTGCAGCTGCTGCAGGATTTCTGATGCCATAATTTGCATATATAGGCTAATTGCATTAAGCAAGGATCCATTCAAGCATGTTCATCATAAATGCCAGTCATATTTGTGTGCTGTCGTGTCTTCACGTGGCAGAGATTACCTTCTGTATGAAATGGCCCAAACCATAATCACCAGACCCCATTGATGTTGGCGACATCAAAGAGGATTATATTAGCTCATGATCTGTTTTAATACATTTTATTTAAAGATATCTTGGCTTACAGCAATCTTGGCTTTCCTCCCTCTAAGTAATGGATAAATTATCCAAGTTTGTATTCGTTTCTTCATTATTGTTATTTTTTATTCTGCAGGACAAGTTTAAGTTCACATTTTGGAACATAATAAGGAGAGACAAAGGAAACTATTTATACAGGTGAATATATCTTTTAAGAGAGAAGCAGTTTTATAATAAATAGATTAGAATTACTACTAGAATAGGTTTTGTTCATCTTGTCACAATAACTTGAAATTTAAAGCAAGGCTTATTTCACAGCTGATATCTCCAGCCCTGAAACATTTTTAAAATGTCTTGGTTAGACATTTCAAATTATGTGAAGAAATATGATCTACTTTTACAGATTAAAACAGTCCTAGAGAAGTGATGGTACATTTTCCAGTGCCTTATATATATGTGTATATATTTATATGTATATATATAATGCCTATATGTATATAATGTATATGTAATTGTGTACATATATTCAAGTAAAACTAGTTACAGGTGTCCTAATCTGGTGTATTTTAAATAGAACTGATCTGTGTTGATAAAAAAAAAAGGTTGTGTCAGCAGCAAAATACAAACCGGAAATCACTTACTAAAATGTAAGCAAATAAAATAGACTGGAAACAGTGTTTCTGCCAGTGGTTATGTTCCAGGCCGTGGGAGACGCCATTTTAAGGAATATCCAGAGAGAAGGGAAAGCAGTGCTGGAAGCTGGGAGGAAGTGGAGAACAAGGGATGCCTGAGAGCCCCTCGGTGCTCAGCCCTGTGAAGGGGTGCAGGGGAGGGGACAGGAGGGTTTTAGGGACCCCATGCCTGTGGGGCTGTGGCAGTTCTTTCCAACAGGCAAACTGATTCCTTTCCCCCAGGGGGTGGGGTTTTTCTGCCCACAGGGATGCAATCCTGGGGACTCTGTCTACATACAGAACAGGGACCTTTCCAAAGCTTCAGGCAGTGGATCTGATCCAGAGAGAGAAAAGTGGCTGCTGTGGAAAAGACTCATCTCCTGACTGTAAGGAAGGTGATTCATGTTTCTTTGCCTTACAAGTTATTTCATGTTGTGTTGCCATCCTGTTCACCTTTTACACATGCATCCCTTGTGTGGATATTTCAGACAGTAATTTTGCCATTTATTTCCCAGGAATATGAAGCACTGACATAGCCTGTCCATGTGGTACTAGATCTAGAATACACCTGGCCTGGGATGGACAGTGTATGAGACCATGTGAGCACTGTGGGCACTGCTGAGGTTTACCAGTATTTCTGGACTGTGTTAAGATATTCTGTCTCTCCACTCCTCATTAGTGAAAGTCATTTCTGCATTTGTGGGCATGGCCAGTTTGCTCAGACTACATGGCAGAAGTGCACAACATGACTTGGGCAGCAGATTCTGCCAGATCACAAGCTTTTCTAGGGGTTTAGTTGGATTTTTGAATAAAGGGGTACCACAGGTAAGTCTGGTATTTTAAAAAATGCCCCCTTTCTTAAATAAAACAATTTGAGAAACATAAGTAATTCAGACCCCTTTCTTTCAGCAGACTTTATGGAGTATGTGCCCTGTAAAAGCCTTAAGGGCCATATCCTACCTTCTGAGGGTGATTTCACACCTTTTAACTCCCAGGCTGTGCTGGGGCTTGGACTGTCCATCTATTCCTTCAATATGAGGTAAGAACAGGATTTTCAGGGATTTGTTTGAGCATTGTATGTATGTGTGAAACCCTCCCATTGAGCTCAGTGAGAACTGAGAGATGATGGGAAGGATAAGTCTGGTTGGCAATGCCTGAAAGTCTTTAAGGGAACAGTAGCCCTCCATACAAGTGAGGGCTGTCCTTTATTTAGCACAGTTGGTTTGGAACTGAAGGCTGTGAGTTTGGCTTCAGTAGATCATGTCATTGCACACAGTCAGCAGTGGGGACTCAGTGTAGGGCTTTCAACACCAAAATCACAGGCTTCAAATACCTTGGGTGAACACCTAAAGTGAGAATCCCTGTTTTCAGAATGGCACATAAGCTCATGAATGCTATTCCTAGCTCATGCTGAAATCTTAGTTCCTCTGAAATCAGTGGTAGTTTTTCCTTTAATAGTAATAGTGCCTCATTATACTTGATGTGCCTTTGGAAGTGGACTGTGGAAGCTCATAAAATTGCATTATAATCTGGTTCTAGTCCTGGGCACAGGTGGCTTAGCAGAATACAGCTTTGCTGTCAGCTTTTTCTCTTGTACAGTCATTGGAACAGATGGTAGAAGGGTTTTTGTTGATTTTTTTTTTTTAAATACAAACCAATGCTACTTTTTCTTAGGAAAAGCTCATCTTGTAGAAACTGCAGTGTCTGAGTAAATTCAATGAGTAACAGCATGATCCAGTTTTTGCAGCCTGAATATTATGGATCCATCTGGCCCTGGGATCAGCCCTTGCTGTCTCATTGACAGTTATCTAAAATAACAGACTTAAAAACAAGAGAAGTAAGTAATTATAAATAGGTAGTACTTGGTTATGACTAATTTTTCAGGCACACTATGACATAATGGAGACAAACTGCTCTGTTGTTGGCCACAATCTCCTACATCAACAAGCATGTGCTTTGCGCTGCTCTCGGCGCAGCTCTGCAGCACTGAGCCGGAATCCCCAGTAAGAGAGAACCAGTTGGACATTCTGCTGGAAACATGAGCTGCACTTAAGGCACAGGAATGGGCTTCAGGCACTCTGGCAGCGGGTCCTGACTCCAGTGCAGATTCCTGCTGACTCCTGTGTCTGTCGGTGCCTCCTCGCTCCGTGTCGGGGGAATTGTGACTTCCCGACCTCCCAAATGTGTTGTGCTTGTGGGAGGCTCCAGCCCTGTCGTTCTGGGACCAGCTGTGCAGCTGGAGCCAAGCAGATTCCTCCCATAGGTCTTCAGGAGCAATAGGGCAGATTTGGGGCATATTTAACCTCAACTGAAAGCATAACTGAGGTCATGTACTTGGGGAGGAAGTTTTTGTGTGTTTGTGATGGGTGTTGCTGACAATAATCTCCCTCTTTCACACTGACTTAGGAAAGCTGTTTTAGTAAGTACCTGAGAGGCATTTCTGCCTTGACACTTCCCTTGACCCCCAGCATATTTCCCTATAATCCAAACCCTCTGCACAATACCCACACTGCACAATCCTCATTCCAAGAGACCATATGCTTCATTGCCTTAAGCAGTTCTGCTCTTCCCTGCTTGCTTATTGGAATAGTTGTTCATGTAGATATAATAATAACTCAAATGACTGAGCAGAAATACAGTAAAAGAAATACATATATATATATATTTATGCAGAAATACAGTAAAAAAATGGCTGTAGATTGGGAGTGACCTCAGAAAGGGGGACACTGCAATGTGCTATTGAGGCACAAAACACGTTGACATGTCATGGGCAGCTGAGGAAATCCAGCCTTTACATCTTCTCTTGAGAGCAAGGACTGAGCTGCTGTGTTGCCATGAGAAAACTGCTAATAATTCCTGTCTTTTTTTGTGTCTTAGTGCTGTGCAGAAGTACATATCTGTTTATCTACAGCTCCTTATTCACAGCACATGAAGCTTGTTGAAGAAGGAGTAACATTGTCTGTTAGTGCACTAATTCTGGAGATATCTGTGCAGCTTCTCTTCACGTATCCCTAAAGCCTGGGGTGGTGCAGGACTGCATTACAGCCCCATGTCACAAATGATGGAGAGACATTTTTGGGTACAAGAGGCTTGGGATGTCCTCTCTGGTTTTGGTCTAGTTATATATATGTAAAAATATATATATGTAAAAATATATATACTGTCATTAGCAGTGCCCTGGGTGGGGCTGTGAAAGCAATGCTCTCCTTTAGCCTGGGTTGGCATGACTTGATTTTTGAAGCCTAGTTCCTTGGATGCTCCATGACTGTGCTTAAGGGTAAATTCATCACTTGAATCCTACAGCTGGTGACTTGAATAAATTAAAGCTAATGTGGTGGTCAGACTAGCACAGTGCAGTGGGCTGATTTTCACCTGAAGGTCCTTAAAATTCCCCTAGGAAATGCATGAATACATTGGCAGAAATTCGACTGAATGAGCTCAGTAACATCATTTGGAAAAGAGAAAAAGCCACGATGCCATTTTGCCTGATCCATATGTAGAGCAATTTACAAATTGCTACACACACATATA